GTCACAACATAATATTTTAATTCTTTAATGCATCAAAATTGAAAAAATGATTTAGTTAAACTGACATTTTCTTGTATGCTTACAAGGAAGGAAAAATCTTGTAATGCAAATAAAGTTACATTTTCACACCATGCAATGGACTAATCATAACTATTTTTGGTTCCTATATTGCATGAAGTGATTTTCATGGTCCAAAGTTCATCATATTGGAGCAAAAGAGTGGATATTCACTTATAAATTTATGACCTTTAGGAAACAATTTGTGACGTTACTACTAGTGTCAAAACTAATTACAGTGAAAGCTGTCACAGGAGGATACAGTGAAACCTATCACCAAATGATACAGTGAAACCTGTCACCAAATGACACAGTGAAACCTGTAGCCAAATAATAGTGAAACCTGTCAACAAAGAATACAGCAAAACCTGTCACCAATGGAAACAGTGAAACCTGTCACCAAATGATACAGTGAAACCTGTAGCCAAATAATAGTGAAACCTGTCAACAAAGAATACAGCAAAACCTGTCACCAATTGAAACAGTGAAACCTGTCAACAAATGATATACAAGAGAAAACCACTTCAATGAACAATAGTAGCTGTGACATATTATCAGATTTAAAACAATTAAAAAAAAACTAAATTATCATGATTCCATATGGTCATCTAAATATCCAATGTGAGGTTTGTATGATTCCAATGGTATCTTGTTTATATGACCGCTGTGGTAGCCTAGTTGTTAGAGCATCCACCTCATATGCAGAAGGTTGCAGGCTCAAACCCCAGCAGAGTAATACCAAAGACTTATAAAAATGGTACCAGCAGCTGCTTCGGTTGGCACTCAGCATTAAGAGGCTAGTGATAGGACTGGTCCTGGTGTCAGGATAATAAGACTGGGTGGGACATGATGCTACGTGTCTGCGGCATGATGCTCCAGAGCCAGACATCACTATAAACAGTCACATTGAAGACACTGTAGCTGTATGACTGAATTTTTTTTAAAGCTACATTAAAAATCTAAATTGCACACACATACAAACACATCTTGTTTAAATGTTAAGTAAACCTCCTTACCCAAAATGCCAAAACCAAAAGTATGCAGTATGTGGTCCAGTAATCTTGGCATATTTTCTCAATTTCACTGAAAGCTAATAAGGTTTTGGTGTCCCACCACAGCATCTGCTTATCAAATTTGGCAGTATGGTCTCATAATATTGGCGATATCTTGCTTTACAGTTTGTCCTTAAAATGATTTGCATGCTGCTTCCTTCAAAAGTATCATTATTTCCCCCATTACCCTTGAAAATTGATACGTGACCACAACTTAACTCGGTTTTTAGGCCAGTTTCAAAATGGCTAAATGTTTGATTCAATATATTTTTTTTATATCCTGCTTACAAAGTCTATAATGCAAACATCATCAGTAACTACCTCCAATTTAGGAAAGGATATCATTACAACATAAAAACTGGGACAAGATCACCAAAAAGTCAAACATATCATGGGATTCCCACATGCCATATGCATATATAATTTGGTCTTTTCCAGTCAAACCATACTGACAATATCTTGCTTGGTACATGATATTCATCCCTTGGTATCACCCTATGATCTGAAAAACAAAAAATGGACAGCCATCTAAACCTAATCCAGTTGTGGGATGTATTTTTTCACTCAAGGTATCTTAAATCTAATTTGTTCTGGTTTGACTATAAATTTTGTGACATATTTTGCATACACAGGAACACAGCACAAAACCAATAATGTCTCCCTCTTTTGCAGGGAAGACATTTTTAGATTTCACTAAATGTCAAGAGATAAAGTTGAGCTGCATTTGGAGTGTATAGTAATACTTTTTGTTAAAAAGCTCATACCAAACTTGCAGAAAGTTTTATTCCATCACCCATTATGATTAACCCACTCAATTTTTTGGTCATTTACAAGGAGGGCCCTCTGCATTTATCATTGTAGAAATACTGTAACTTACACATTAGCTTTGCAGAGAAACTGTCAGTCAAAAGGAAATCTTAATAAATCAAGGATAGATAGTTGGATAGTTGGCTTTAACTTGATTACATAATGGCAGCTTGACTGAAAGTATTTTGGCTGCTGGACAAAATCAAATGAAGCATTAATCAAGTGTTATGAATTCATATGACCTTATATATTTAAAATGTAAACATGTGATGTAAACAATTTTATAAAATCTTCATTTTAAAACAATAAAGTCTTCACCTGTCTTTTTTATTCTGAATTTTATCACTGAAAGAAATACTAATTTTACCATATCTTTTTTCAAAGAAAATCTAAGCAATTAAAAAACTCTGCCAGTAGAGGCAACATTAATTCTATGTAAGTTAATGTTAAAGGTTCTCTGCAAAACAACAGCTCCAGTAAAGGCAAGACAAAGTTTTCCATGCCACCCTTGGCCTTATTAAGGAATCTGCGTGTAACAGTGATCATTAGTGTTTATGTTGAATCAGAATCAGCCACTAAAAATGAACATAAAATCACACAACAAAAGATTTGTTCTTGAATTCAAGCTACAAAAAATACATGTCAATTACTGGTCTTCACATAAACAGTGATTCTGCATGCTGATGGACAAAAACAATTCAGACATTTGAAATTTATCAAGTGTTAGAGCAGTCCAAAATAGTTAAATTAATTCATCTTCAGAACACTATCTGTCTGTTTATGCATATCTTATTAATACACTTATAAAAAGATCACATTTTTGATTTTTTTAATGTTGGATATAGAAGCGAGTCAGCATATTTATATAAACAAATGCAAGAATATGATTTTTGAAATGCTTAGCAACTGCTGACCTAGTACTTCTACACTTCTGATATAAAATCCGATATAATCCAGTAGGCAGCCTTTTTATTAGCTGCTCGAAGCATGTTTGAAAACCTACTTTAACATTGCTGTGATATATTTGTCGCATTATTGCACCATTGTCGCATTATTGCACCAACTTAGCCATGTATTTTCAATTTTGAGCAATCTGATTGAAACATCATGGTGAAAGGTTGGCTTTAGATGCTAACCATTAGGGCAGTACTAGAACCTCAAATTATGGCATCACTATGTTCACATTTTGTTTAATAAATTCACATTCAGAATCACATTCACCAGCAGCACTTTTCTTTTTTCCACAATGCCATAATGTCACCTTCAAAACAAAGTTTATTTCTTCAGGAATTTTTCAATTTTCGTGGACAAATGTTGTATGTTAGCACAAATACAATAACACACCCTTAAGATTACCTTCTTAACTCATTGAGCAGCAGACATCTTTTGTGGAGGATGGGAAATTTACAATAATGTCAAAAATCTAACACAAAATCTGTTTTTGACACTCAGCTGACTAGAGATATTTAAAACACTGCAGGAGACAAACAATTCTGGGCTAGGCAAAAGATGAATAATCACTGCCGGAAATGTCTGGGAGCTGTGTATTGTGAAGCAACAATTTTGCCAACTCAAAACTGCTGTCTTTGTTAAGAATATGTGGCATTAACAAAGTGGAACCCAAAATCAATATAAAATAAAACCTGTCTCAGTAAATACCTCTATACATGTATAAAGGTCCACATTTATGAAGCCTTTTCTTAACTTTACAGTTTCCTTACATACCTGTTAAGACTGTTCTTTAAAGACAGGTTCTACTGTATATAATACTGATGACATTTGTTTTAACCCCAGCACCACACCCAAAAGACTAGTGGGTGGTTACAAGGGCCATCTGCAGCACATTTCTGAATTGCCAGTACCAGGTATTTACCTGCCCATGTCTGCCAGAACAACCAAATATTAAGTTGGCAAGGTCCAGTTTCATAATTTGTCCCAGGCAAATTTCTTAGCTTAAGGCAATGGTGTGACTTTTTCAGCTATTATTGTTGGCTAATTAAAGATGTGGATATATTGGTAAACTAGGTGTTTCCAGCTTGTGTTGTTCTTGAAATTGATGTCAGGCATGTACACCTTCCATAGTTACTCTGCAATATATTGATAGTGAAATACAAATAAATGGTTAGGAAGAAGAGCTAGCCTCCCATAGCTGTAAACATGTGGGTTTGGGACAAGGAGAATATCTCAAAAACGGCTTGGATGACAACTATTTTCAACTGCATCAGCCTGTTTAGTACACACTGTTTGGCAGAATTGTAATCTAGGAAAAGGGCTTGTGTTTGCACTGTGAGCATCACAGTGTCAAAAATGACCTTCGGACATGAAAATTGCAGCCATAAATTTTGGAGTTGGGGTGCATAAACTTCTGCTATGAACTGCCACTGACTTCTCTGATTAAGTGGAATTTTATTTTTAGGCTTTTTTTTAATATAGGTATTTCAAAATATTGACCTTCTTGAACTCACTTGTGTATTTGATTTTTTTTATATTTTCGTACTAGGTCACTGATTGCGGCATTAAATTTGTACATAAAAACTGACCCTGCCCCATTAAGCATTTTGCTGATCACTGTAATACCTTTGTTGCAGAACCTCCAAACCCCCACCCCATCTTTCGTGGAATGCCCAGTACCAGTGGCACATCTTATTCAAAGAGATTATGATGGATTTCAAATCAGAGGGTAGCTCAAATTCAGTTGCAGTGATAAGCCACCTGAATATACAAAACTGGGTTTAAGGCAACCTCTTTTTCCTTGCTGTTATGAATTTTAATGTTATGTTTTGAAAGATGAGGCCCAAGTGGACCTGATATCGCTCACTTGGCTGACATCTGCCTAATAAGGTGTGTGTGTGATTTAGAATTTTAATGTAGCTTTAACAATTTTTCAGTCATATCACTACGATGTCTGCAGTGTGACAGTTTTATAGTGATGTCTAGCACTAGGGCATCATGCTGCAGACATATGGCATGATGTCCCACCCAGTCATATTATCCTGACACCAGGTCAATTAGTCCTAACACTAACCTCTTAATGCTGAACACCAAGCAATGCAGCTGTAAATACCATTTTTAAAGTCTTTGGTTTGACTATACCAGGGTTCGAACCCATGACCTTCCGCATCAGAGTCAGACACTAACCACTAGGCTATAGGAACAGTCTCTTCCTAATAGCCAAATATAAAAGCCGAGATATATGGTCAGTTGGACACTTTCTGTTGAAATTTATTTCACTGCTGTTAATTACATATGTGAAGAAAAATGTTTTCAAGGTTTCTCTAGGTTATGTACCTTCATCCATATTTGATGGCCAATTAGCATACATGTTAATTTTTACAATCCAGCATATTTCTTAAACAGCTTAATTGTTTAAATGTTTTTATGTATTTTCAGTAATAGCTGCAACATTTATAAAAGAAATATATCAAAGGCCAACATGCTCAGATGCTTTATGCTATATTTGGTACAATTCGAGTGGCAAGAATCAAGAAGTTATTAGCAATTATTCTATTTTTAGCAACATTAACCATATTTCATGGTGACTGGTATCATTTGAACAAACTTAAAAACCCATCATGCCACTATGCTGTCATATTAAAAAAAAAAAGATTTTTCTCTTCTTTTTATGTTAAAAAACACATTTTCCATTCTTTCAAAATTCTTTTGTTTTTGTTTCTTCCATGCTTCTTCCATATTATATTGTGTATTGGAAACTGACATCCCTCTATGTCACATTTTATTGCAAACTGTAGTCATTTCTAGCAAATTGACATCCCTCTATGTCACATTTTATTGCACACTAGAGATATTTCTAGCAAATTTAACATCCCCCTATGTCACATTTTATTGCACACTGGAGACATTTCTAGCAAACTGACATCTCCCTATGTCACATTTTATTGCACACTGGAGACATTTGTAGCAAACTGAGATCCCTCTATGTCACATTTTATTGCACACTGGAGACATTTGTAGCAAACTGACATCCCTTTATGTCACATTTTATTGCACACTGGAGACATTTGTAGCAAACTGACATCCCTTTATGTCACATTTTATTGCACACTGGAGACATTTGTAGCAAACTGACATCCCTCTATGTCATATTTTATTGCACACTGGAGACATTTCTAGCAAACTGACACCCCTCTGTCACATTTTATTGCAAATTGGGAGACATTTCTAGCAAACTTACATCCCTCGATATCACATTGTTTTGCACAGTGGAGTCATTTCTAGCAAAGTGACATCCCTCTTAAAAACTACTGCCGAAATAGTTGGCAGCTCAGCATAAATATACCTAGTTGAAAAATGTTTATAATATCCATATAGATTATTATCAATAGTCTCTGTGTGTGTGTGTGTGTGTGTGTGTTAGCTTAGAATGTAAATATGTATGTAACAGAAGGTCATACAATTGTGTCACCCTCTTAAAATAATTTTTTTTTTTATTATTATTTTTAAAAAATCTGAAAAATCTCTATGCTAGAATGCTTCCATTTTTAAATCTGGTCAAATGAATTTGTGAGAAAAGGTCATTGAAAAGTTTAATTATTTTTAGTAAAAGCAGCAATATTTTATGCCATAGTCCACAAGATTCTGGTTCAGTTTTTGGTTCTGGACAAGACCGACTTAGATACCAAGCATCTGACTGTCCGGGTATAAAAAGATGCATCTTACAAGCCTCTAAATCCTCATTTTCTTTCTAGGTAAAATGCAAAAAGAGAAATTTGCTTCGTTTACCCACCTTTCTGGCAGCTGTCTAAAGTCAAATGCAAGATTAACTTGCCAAGAAATATCAGGGTAAGTAGGATCCTATCTGTTCAAATTTCTACAATGTTGTTCATTAAATGTTATGAAAGCAAACATTTGAAGGTTTTTATAGCTTTTTAACCTTCATCTATAATTCATCATACAGCCCCATAATTTGATACTAAAAAGACCTTATGCCACCATGTTGTGATGAAGTCAGTTAAATTCTGTTATTATTATGACTTTATTTAACGAGGGTAACTCAATTAGCTAGAAACTAATCTACATTGAGGCCCTCATTCAAAGGAACTTACTTATTTTTGCTGCATCTTTCAAGCCACTGTATATACTGGGTTTGGAAAAAGGAAATAGAGTGGGCATTTCTAATCTCAACTGGAATACTATTCCAGAGCAAATTTCCAGAGTATTGGAAACTTTTTAAATAATTTATTATTTAATTTGGGAATATTGTAATGTTTTGTTGATATTGATCGTAAGTGACGAGTATTTCCGGGTAGCCTATACTTGAATTGTAAATATTCAGGAGCACTATTATTGGCTATCCTGTACATTAATTTGGCTTTTCTCAAATAGATTTGTCTTTAATAGGTAATATTTTTAACTTACCAGCTAAATTTTCCTTGCTTTCTTTCTGGATTGATTATCAACTCAAAAGCTCTTTTTTGGAGATGTGCCAGCTTTGCTAAATTTTTATCATTTGAATTACCCCATACTGTATTACAGTAGTCTATGCAATTTTATTATAAAAAAAAGTTGTGTGGCAGTCATTTTTGATAGGAGAATGAATGTTTGTATAAATCTAAAACAAAGGTAAGTTAGGGACACTTTTAGTTAAAACTTCTTAATTTCTACTAAGAGGTCTTGTAAAAGTTTTTATTTTTATTTTTAGTACATCAGCCATACCTGACAGCAGATTGGCATCTTGGTAACAGCAGATTAGTATCTTGATATCCTATATATAAATACCCACATTTATCTTTTGGTGTCCAGGCTGCCCAACTAGAGGATGTGAAAGTGATTTATCCCAAATTTGTTTTATACCTTTTTATATTTTTATGTTCAAACTCTTTTAAATTCACTCATCCTAATTGTATTTTTTATTTATTTTTTTAATTCCTTATTCCCATTAGAGGAAGAGTAATTAGTGTAGGTCTTAATACCACAATGCTTTCTGTCAAATTTTGTTATGCAGTATTTGACTTGTTAAAGGTTCTTTTATGTTTTTAGTAACACTGGCCATATTCATGGTAAATCAACATCATTTGCACAAACTTCAAGGGTAACTTGAAGGCATTTTTTTTATTTTTTGTCATTATGGCCATACTTAAAATTGTAAAAGGGCTAAATGTCAGGATGCTATCTGCCAAGTTTGGTTCAATTTTAATCAGCCATTTTAAAAACTGGGTTTCTTAAAAGGTTTTTCTATTTTTAGCATTGGTGCCATATCAGATGGCAGATCAACATTTTTAAAATTGCAAGATCTATTCCAGGATGCTTCTGGACAAATTTAATCAAATTCTGTTTGGCAGTTTCAGAAAATTTAAAAAGTTCTCAATTTTTAGTAATGGCAGCCATACTTGAAGGCATTATCGCAGACATTTGGATAAACTTCAAACCCTAAATGCCCATATGCTCCATGCCATGTTTGGTTTAAACTGTCTATAAGCAAAGGATAGGGTCTTGTCCTTTTGGTAACTGGCCATATTTGAAAATGGATGAACATCATTTTGTACAAAACTTTAAATGCATTTAATTGAAATCAGTATCAAAATGTTTTGTAGTTCAAAAAGCAATTGCTGACAAAGACCATACAGAAACCAAACAACACAGTACCATACCCTAAGCAGTACTGGTGATAATGGTAGCTATGAAAAAAAAAATGTTTAGAATTCCACTGAACCAAAATTACCAAAATATCTGAAGGGTGATGTTTAAGCCTAAATATACTTCTTGGTATTCTGAAAAATTTTATTTTCTGGTGATTAATCTCAACATGTTGTTGTTGTGGGGCTTAGCGCCATTTTTCAGCACACAATAGGCTATACATGGCGCCAGTATTAATGGTCTAAGAAAAAAATGGGAAATCACCGGAAAGAAACACCCATCCACGAGAAGCTACTGGCAAGCTTTTTCAAATATCCACATTTGCCGAATCCTAGACTTGAATCCACGAAGACAGAGGTGAGATGGCAGTGATCCATAACAGACAGCAATTTAGACCATATGGCCACTCAGGGCCCCAGCCTCAACATGAGATTTTGGCTCAACATAATGCTAGTGATTTGAATCTAAACATACGAATTAGGATCAAACATATATCAAGTGATCAAAATCTAACAATATTTCTAATGACTATGGCCAAAAAAACATTTCTAGTGATTTAGGTCTACGGTCTAACCACATTTTGCCACTTAAGACCTTACCATATTTCTATCAATTAAGGCCTAACCATATTTCTAGTGATTTAGGCCTAACCAAATATCTAGCAACTAAAGCCAAAACATTTTTCTTGTGATTAAGGTCTAACCATATTTCTAGTGATTATGACCTAACCATATTAAAAGTGATTTAGGCCTAACCAAATATCAAGTGATTTAGGCCTAAACACATCTGTTGTAATGTAATGAATATTGTAATGTTTTGTTGATATTGATCGTAATTTAGTAGTTTAGGCCTATCAATATTTCTCATAGGCTAAACCAGATTTCTTAGTGATTTAGGATCAAATATACCCTCCAATCAGGTCCCCAGTTTTTATATCCAAATTAGGTCTCTCTTAGTGGGGAGATGTGTTGTTTTATATACTGGAGTCCTCAACTGTTATCCAAAGTAGGTGAAGTTTTGTTTTATATATTGGACTCTCATTTTTAACAAAAAATAATGCCAGAGACTAACATATTCCAATTCCAAAAAGTGAATTATGGTTAACAATATTCAAGAATCAATTTTCTCCCTCAATATGGAAACCTTCATTTAAAATAAAGCAAACGCATGAACCACCCACTAAAAACATGCAAATGATCATGATATTGGAAACTGCACCTCAAGAAAATTCAAACCTAAAACAAAATTAATAAAATGTTAACATGCCTATTATAAACCTGATGCCTTGGCAAACATTTAAAACTGGTGCCATTATGTGTTAACTATAATTTATTAATTTTTGCTTCTGACCAGGATTTACAAAATTTTGTAAGTCAGCTTTCCTAGGGCAAGCTAGCTGAAAAATTGAACATATCCATGGGAAATCTGAGCTTGCCCATAAAATGATTAGGTAGAAAGGAATTTGAAATAGCTTGATATTTAAGAGGAGTGGGAGAGAGAATTAAACAAACAACAACAGAACTGCATTATTTAATTTTAATCAATGTTTTTTTTTATCTTTCCAC